TACCCTCCTCGTGGCCCAGCTGTTTGTTCTTGGCCCTCTTTCGAGCTTCGTTCTTGTCCGTGTCCGAGTTGACGGCCTCGTAAACCGTCTCTGCCACTTCCTGCTGCCAGCGCTCCGAGATGACCAGAGGGAAGTTCTTGTAGAGCTCCTGGTCGCTGTCCAGCAGCTGCACGCCAGCAGACGGGGAGAGAGAGACAAGGACATTTAGGAACGAGTGAGCCAACAAAGTTGTGTTCTGACACCGCATCTTATCGGGTCTCTGGGCCCCGCCCCCTCAGCTGAGGGAAGGCGTGATGACGGCTGAGCTCAGCACAACGCATCACTACCTCATGACTCCTCATGGCGCCGCTAATGACAAGAATGAGGGCAACATGAACGGATGTTAGTTGGTCAAAGAAGAAGTTGAAAGCAGGGATTAAAGCAAAACAAATACATTTGACAGAAAATTGTCAACGTATAAAACAACAGAGGTGTTTTGTATTTTAGGAATACAATTGACACGTTTTTCTTTTTTGAAGCTAAAGATCTCAGCTGACAGATATGAGCTTGCTTCTTTTTAACAAATTTGACCTACAGTCAAGTGAATTTTATGCATAAGTAAAAGTTGCAGCAGGTGATCTATATAAAACTTTGTTTAAAGTATAAAAAAAGTAAATGAAGTTAGGGGGGTCTGGGGGGATTTCCCCCGCATAGGAAAAATCTATTCTAACATTCAAATGAGACTTTTTGGAGCATTTTGAGATTAGATCATGATACATGAGGAACTGTTTTTTTTTATACTAATTAGGACAGTGGAATAAGAAGCCGACTCTGTTCTTAACCTTAAGCAGTCTAAAGTAGTAACAACACAGAAATACCCTCAAACAAGTTACAGAAGTTAGAGTACAAACATATCAGACTTTAGTCTGGAGTAACAAATGAATAATAGTTACTTTGCAAAAATTTACCTTACAGAATATTATTTATATATTTTTTAATGCATTAATGTGTTCCTCATTTTGTTGTCATTGCTACAGTTGGATCTAATCCTATTTACATACCTGTATCTGGATACCTTGTGAATTCACAGGGTATATAATAAAGATATTTAGACAAATAGTGTATTCATCCTATTTTGCATTATAAATCTGAATCTGAGAAGTAACTAGCAAACAAATTTAAGATTTTCTATAAATTCAGTGGAGTAAGAAGTATATTTTTATTAAGTACAAGAAGGCTTCTTTTTTTAATTTTTTTTTTACATTGGACAGAACTTTCACCCACTCAGTCGTTAAAAGTAAAAAAGTAAACTAGTGCTAGCTTGTTAAGCTAATATAACATTGTGTCATCACACGGTGCAGTTTAAAGGTGATTCATGTCGCGTGGTGCTCTGTGGGTAATGTGTTGTATCACCTTTTTTGTCTGATTGATACTGACGAAAAATATTACAATTTTGAAATTGACGGAGAACTTTAATCCCTGTGAAGGTGATATTTGAGTGAGTTTCCAGAGTGGGCGTGTCCTAAAACTTTGCTCTTATACGTCGGCGTTCTGGCCAAGTCTCGCCAAGTTCTCTCAATGTCTCGTTCAGAGCAGCAGGAAACCACGTCCGAGGATTACGCCATCTACAATTCTACAATTCACTTAGCAGACTCTTTTCTCCAAAGCGACGTACATCAGAGAGTAAGAACAACACAAGCAAGGATCTAGAAAAAAGGGAACAATGTGAGTAAGAGCAAACGATCAGCTTGAGTCTGATTGGACACACAGGTGCTGACAGGAAGTGACCAGAGGCAAAGCACAACATTGAGGGCAGTTCTTGAGAGCTCTAATCAGTATAGAAACCATCTTATAAGTCGTCGTTATCAAACAAAAACCATCGTCATTACCATCATCATCATCAATAATATGGAGACCATCATCATTAAGTTAGTAGGTATTCATGAAAGAGCTGGGTCTTTAGCTTTTTCTTAAAGGTGCAGAGGGACTCTGCAGATCACATGGAGTTTGGAAGTTCATTCCACCACCGGGGGGCGACAGAGGAGAAGAGTCTAGTCAACCACTGTGTATCTTATGTTTAAGAAACGCTGCAGAGGTTTAGTACAGACGTCCAACATCGTAACATAATCTGAATGTTTTTAAATAATAAAGCTGAAAACATCTCCTTTGAAAGTTTCCTGATTCCGGTGTTTCAATGAAGATCTCGTCATGAACGACCTTTAGAGATTTAACCAGATGAAGCTCCCACACTAACACTTTCCCTTCACTGCGTCGTCCTCGTGCAGGTCACTGAGGGTAAATTAAAAACGTGTATACCCTCATCCACTCTGCAGGACTCGTCTGTGACGTGGGCTCGTTGACGGTCGCTTTGGGGGATTCTCTCCTCTCTCATGTCGATTATTACGGCTGTTAATGATCCGCTCTGTCTGGGGGAATGTAAACACACGCTTTGACTTCTCTGCACAGGAGTGTCAGAGGACGAATAACACTCACTGCAGACACATTCCTGATAATGAAAGAAGGAGAAACTAAAGGTAATCTTTATTGCTTCAACACTAAAGCAGCTCTCTTCTTCTCTTCCTAAAGCTTCACCTGTAAAGAGAGATTCACTAACTACAACCTCTCTGCACTGAAAGCGTTTTCCTTTTCTTCTACGCTCCCTTTAGTAGTCACAACAAAGAAAAACAAGTCCATAGAGGCGAGCTTATGTAGATATCAGGTTTAAACTGGAATCTCAGAAATCAGAAGAATGTTGTACGCTGCATATGTACTTATGTCATTATTCTTTGTAATTGTAATGACAATGTGTTTCTCAATTCTCCATCAGATTCAGAGGACCTCATTGTTGGAACGATTTACCCAATCATATTAGAAACAGCACCAGCCTTAACTTATTTAAAAAACAATTTATTTCCTGCTTGGCCAGTTAACCAATGTGCCATCATAATCATTCTCTGCCATAAGAGCTTATTTTACTTTTCCCCCTCTTCTTTAATTTGTCTCTTTCTTGTTTTGCTTTCTTTTACACCTTATTGAGTATGTGTTCTTGTTAGCTTTATTGTTTTTGTCTCTGTGTTACATGTTTCTCTTTAGGGGGCCACTCCACGAGCCCCTCTGGGTTTATTTGGCTCCTCCAGCACATTTCTTTCAAAATGTATATTTTGTTAATTAACTAATCATTATGTACTGTCTGTTTTTCCATTCATCTATTATGTTTTTTTTTTGTGCAATAAAATAAAAAAAGTACTATGGCACTTCTACACGCTGCTGCTGTTGATTAGCGCGTTGCAGTGGTGTTGAAATCAATCGTTTAATCGATGCCTCGCCGCGCAGACGTGCACGATGCAGCGACAGGACGTAAACCATGCTGATGAAGGCATCTGCTAACCGCCAAATTCAGGTGTTTTGCGACGTGCGAGTGAGTGAGTGAGGGTGCGCAGTAAGTGGAAATTGGGGTTCAAACTAGTTTCTTCTTCCTTGAAGCACACTTGAACTTTTAAATGTGAATAAATGTCTAAATAAATCTGTGTGTAACATGTAATGCTCATGACACAGCTGCAGTTCCTGGGGGAGACACCGGGGGGAGACACTGTGATCGTGGCTCAAGAGTTGGTGAAGCTGACCGACAACTGAGGCGGAGTTATGATGCACATTTTAAAATAAGACGACCATCGGACGATCTGCAGCCGCTCTGCAGGTCGAGGTGATCTGAAGACTTATTCAGACTGACAGTTCAAGGTGTCACATTGATGCTGCTGTGATGTCTCACCTTCACTGTGACTGTCACGCAGGTTTGAAGCAGTTGGGAGTGATGTACGAGGCTCGCCTGTGAAAGTTAAGAGACGCTTTTCAGATCCCCCCCCCCCCCCGCTCCCCCGCTGTGAGTGCAGCCCTCACTGTGGTCGAGTTGGATTCTTCCTCTGCAGTGACGGAGAGTGAGTAACAAAGTGACCTGTGTTTTTTACCTTGATGCCCTTGGTGTCCTCCTCATCAAAAGAGCCGATGTCGAAAGCGTCTGCGGCGTTCACCTCTCCCCGGGGAGGGATTAAAGGAGGAGAGTACTACAGAGAGAGAGAGAGAGAGAGAGAGTTTTATTAAAATCATTGATGTAAATACTGTAATAAACATCTTAATTGACTCATCTGTCACATAACTGCATTTTACTCATCATGTTACTTCAGCATCTTTTGCACTATTCACCACTGCACTGTTTCATATTTAGTCATGTAAATATTAGTCTTTTCTTATTCTGTTTATTGTTGATATTTAATGTTGCAGACCCTAACTCCTCTCCTCACATATCCATCCTATCAGAGGTGGCCCTCACTGATTGGCTGTGACAAAGAGTTCATCCACTCACCTTCTGGAGGTAAACCTGCTGCCAGTCGATGCCTTTGAAAAACTGATGTTCCTTCACCTCCGGGGCTCTGCATGAGCGGGACACAGAGAGAGAGGAAAGAAGGGTTTATTTTTGTTTTGAACAGTAGGTGGCAGTGTTTGCCACATTACTGCCCTCAACAACACTCATCCTCCTGTTATTCAGGCACACAGCCAGTGCAGACAGAGATCCATCACTGAGCTGAGAGCTGATTGGACGATGTGATGGAATGACTTTAGATGTTTTTTGGGATCATTCTCAGACGTCTCCAAACTAAACCAGCCGGAGTCTGAAGCATTAATGAGCAACACACGTCTGACTGATCAACTCATGATCAGCCTGTGGTCACACACTGGACGCTGATACAGGGCAGGGGTCAGAGTGTGTGTGTGTGTGTGTGTGTGTGTGTGTGTGTGTGTGTGTGTGTGTGCATGTGCGTACCCTCGGCCCAGACAGCCGAGCCTCTTGGAAACGTCTCTCTGCAGCAGCCCCTCCAGCAGGTCTTTGAGCTCTGCAGTGAAGGAGTCTGGCAGCTCCACATTCTGCGAGGAGGAAAGAAAGAGAGGGGAGGGGAGGGGAGGAACAAGAAGGGGAGGAGGGGAAAGTGAGAATTGGTTGTTTGAAAATAGACGGGTATCATTTCAGCTTTTGACTGATGTAAGAGAAGAAGGTCTTCCAAGAAGTCGGACACTCTGAGAAACACGACCGTTCTCTCTGAACCGCTCTGGTGTTTAAAACTGTTGATTTGTTTTGTGCAGGTTGTCAACAAATATCTGAACGTGCAACATGTTCCACATCAATAAATCATGAAGTCTGTCCTGTGTAAATGTGTCTCTGAGTCCTGACTGTCTACAATGAGGGAGAAGCTCGAGTCCCGCTGGCTGTGTTGTTGTCAGAGCCGTGTTTACATGGACGGGACGGCCGGCTCCTCCCCTTGTGTATAAAAGCTGTTTTAGTCCAGAACTAGAGAGAAGAAGAAGAACATACTCACTGATTATTTGGATGTTAGTAAGAGTTTTTAGATCACGCTCATTCTGTGTCAGTTTACATGAAATGTGAAGCTACGAGCTAACTAAAGAGCGCTAACATTAGCATGCTAACACAACAATATGAAGCTACGAGCTAACTAAAGAGTGCTAACATTAGCATGCTAACACAACAATGCAGGACACAGGTGATTGCTGCATGAGTTGAGGACGACTTTGTGAGCCACTTGTGCTAAACTTCTTTGTGTGAACATGAGTGGAGGGGGGTTGGAGGTGTGTCTCTGCAGGAGAGCGGAGGCTTCAGGATGGAGGAGGTGTGGCCAAACAGTTTGTTTTGGTTTCATAATAAAAAATGACGTCTGATTGGACGACACAGCAGCCATCATGTCGAGCTTCAAATGGAAACATCACAATCATTTGTGGTGAGTAAATTTAAGACGATTCATCTTTGGCAAAAATGGGTTTGATTCCCATCTGATGGGATCTTGGGATGAGTTTCCGTCGTCCATGACGATTTTGGACGCAACATTTTGAACCCGTAAAGACCTCTACAAGTCGGCCTTTAATCCTTTCCTGACGGGTTTTTACGCTGGGGTCGGATGTTTCAGAGAGCAGGACGGACATTTATCGGGCTCTGTTCCCCTCCTTTCTTCTATCCGTCTCTTCCTGTCTTGGCTCGCCGTCCCTCGCTCTGCTCTGCTTCCACCGTGTTTATGTAACGAAACCATTCATCATGTTTAATAAACACTAAGACATATAGAGCGGTATTTTTAGCCTCCGCTCGGGCCTGTGTTACAGCCTGTCTTTGTCACACACACGCGCACGCACGCACGCACACACACACTGACAAGGATTAAAGGGATAAACCAGATTAAGTGGCTAGATTAAAACTGTAATCTGGATTTATAGTGATACAGAAGATCATGCTTTCTCTGTTTAGAGGTCCTGCTCTGCTAAATAACACCCGTGTGTGTGTGTGTGTGTGTGTGTGTGTGTGTGTGTGTGTGTGTGTGTGTGTGTGTGTCAGGCACCGTGGTGAGCGATGGTGAAAGAATTCCCTCCATGGTTTGTCACCGTGAACTCATCGGGGCTCACACACATCCCGTCGCCCTCACAGAGCTCTCTCCGTGAGGACGGAGAAAATGAAAGCGTGGGCGACAGCAGATATGTCACCGGGTGGGCTCAATGGACGCCATTCATCCCGAGTGTGTGCTCAAGTCTGACCCACGACATGAAAAAGGTTCAGCGGTGTGTTCCTCTGACGGACAATCAAAAAACACACTGGAGACGCGGGATTTAACTTTCAGACAAAGAGAATTTCAAAATAAGAGCGTCGACTTGATCACAACGTGTTTAAACATCCATGAAGTTCAAACCAAAAGGAAGAACCTCTGATTCAGCGTTTTCTGCAGATAAAGCCCCAGACGTTCAGACGTTCTTTTAAAATCTTCGAAACATGATTGAAATAAATTAAAAGACTTCTAGTTTCGTCCATGTCTTTGTATACATGATTTGCAGCATCTGTTAGTTTGGGGTGGATTTTTGTTTAGATTATTTTCAGTTTTGCCTCCCGCTCGAGACGACAGCCTCAATACATGGGGCGCGCGCCCTAACCATTGCGCCACTAGCGCGCCCCTAGATTATTTTCAGTTTTGTTCTTATTGTTTGTTTCCTCTCAAAATTGAAAAACTCAATATATAATAAAATAAAAAAATATAAAAATAAAAAAAAACGACTCGTCCTTCTTGTTCTCTAAGAACAACACTGAACTGAAGGTCGTCTGTGATGAAGTCTGGGAAAGTCGTGACGAGCAAACAAACCCGATCAGTCGGACGTAAACAATCCTCCAGGCAACAGACAAACAAGCCGGAGTAAACATCCATAGACTTTGTTTTACCAGCCCGGCTGAAAGTTAACATTTAAAGGCACAGTGTGTAAAGTCCACCACCAGGGGGCTCTCTTTCAAAACAATAACAAAAGATGAGGCTGGCGGAGAATCATGGGAGTGATCCTCTCTGCTCCACGAGAACAAAATCTCAATGTGAACTAAACAAACAGGAAACATAATGCAGCAGGTTCATTAGAGCACAGAGATGGTAGAGGTGGAGAGAGAGAGAGTGAGTGAGTTAGAGAGAGAGAGTGAGAGAAGACAGAGAGAGAGAGAGAGAGAGAGAGAGAGAGACAGAGAGAGACAGAGAGAGACAGAGAGAGACAGAGGGAGGGAGAGAGAGAG